GTCTTCCTAAAATTTTCAAGACTACTTCAAGACTGGATTCTTGAATTTATAATTTTTTTTTTTTTTTTGAAATCTTCATTTCGTTAGTTATGTACAATCTAACGTATTAAACATATATGCCATGCTATAATGCATACCAAAGATAAGTTACACTTAGCACGATCGATCTCTCAAGCTCAAAAAGGTCCAGTTGGGATGGACCTTCGGAGAGGATTCATCCAAGTTATGTTCAACCTCAAAACTGCACCTATTGACTTTTTTCGATAACACAAGCAATAAACCAACATGGACTTACATATTATCACATGTTTATATATGACCACAACGTGTTTCGGCTAACCACATTTGATACATTAAAAAGGTGAAAGAATCAAAGAATTAAGGTCTTAATCAAGAAGTCTTGAGCAATTTTAGATCATCAATTCAGCTCAATTCAACACAGTTATGGAGAATACCCTCTCCCACACACACAGGCATGTCAAAATGAAGCAGCTAAAAGTTTCAAGAATTCCTCTCTTGCTAGTGCGAAGTGCAACTATTAATATTTAACAGAAACCACCCAGTTTCTCATCTCTTCGATTCTAATAGCCCTCATCTAGCTTAACAGTTACCGTAACTATACATGTTTTCCATTACTCCAAGTAGGATATCCTATCTTCTCTGTTCATAAAAACAATCCCAAACAAGTACATTATTTATGTTAGTTATTGTGACGCGAGATTATCCATTCCGGTCCCATCTTCAGCCCCGTGCAGTTTGACACGCTTGCACCAACACAAGAACTGAGGGATGGGCCCTTCTTCTCCAATGACCCAAGCATGTTGTGCAACATCCTCAAGTGTCATCCTTTGCAATGGATCTGCACAACCAATCATTTGAAGCACGAAGAAAATAAATTGATGCACAACTAAATAGCATATCATGATCGATTAACAAAATAGAGGTGATATTTTGGTAATAAACATTATAGAAAAATGACCTTTGCAGAGAAGCCCCTCAATTACGTTCTTCAATAGAGGGTTCATCTCGTCAGGGAGCAACAGTTGGTTATTCACTATCTGGCAAAGGAAAATATCAAATGTTAGATATACACAGCCAATATACTAGACCTCAACCAAAAAATATTGTTATTAAATAAATATCTAACATCTATAATGATGGATTTTATGTATATATACACAAGCCGGGTCAAATATTTCAGAAAACAGCAAAGAAAGTGATCCACACACCTTGTCATATGTATCCTGTAGAGTCTCTCCAAGAAATGGGTACTTCCCAAGAACCATGCAGTACAATGTAACTCCAACTGCCCATGTGTCAGCAGCTTTGCCATGGTAGGTCAGACCTAATTGTAAATAGAAATCCCTTAAGGCAGAAAGTCAAAGAGATTTATTCATATATACTATCAAATAAGAGAAAACTCACCTAAACAGCACTCAGGTGCAGTAAATACAGGAGTTCCAGGAGAACGGCGAAGTTCGTCGTTACCATCCTACACGTAAAAAA